AGAAGACAGTTAAGAAACAACCAATCAGAAGACAGTTAAGAAACAACCAATAAGAAGACAGTTAAGAAACAACCAATAAGAAGACAGTTAAGAAACAACCAATGAGAAGACAGTTAAGAAACAACCAATCAGAAGACAGTTACGAAACAACCAATCAGAAGACAGTTAAGAAACAACCAGAACTGTCTTCTGATTGGTTGTTTCTTAACTGTCTTCAAATTGGTTGTTTCTTAACTGTCTTCTGATTGGTTGTTTCTTAAACCTCAATACAATAAGAAAATGATAACACGGGAGAAGAGTAAATATGGACAGCAATTAAAGGCTCTCATATGAAGAATGATCACAGATCACAACCTCAAACATTTCTACACATCATCGGTTTTGGTGAGAAGACAGTGATATTAACTGTTGACACCACAGTGCTGTGACTGTCTATTGGGCTAGTGAAAATACTGTTTTTACCATATTCGAGAGTTTGGCACAAAAAACTGTTGAATGTTTCTAGTCCTAGCAGCATGTGTGGAGTAGGAGGGTACCACCGGGATGGTTTCAGCCTGCAACAAGAATTTTTTCCTTTAAGGGCCCACTGCAGTTGCTGAGGTTACCATGCTTTTTGGACTCTCTCTCTATAATTGACTCTTGGTTTTCACCCTGAGTTCTGCAGTCCTGCACAAAGCAGTGATTATTCCTGAGCAGCGGATGGGTTGAGGGGCGGGGGGAAGGTCTGGGCTTAGGAGGGGCTTTGAATGAATGCCACTACATTCCCATGAAGCTGGTTGGCTGCTCATTCTTTGTCTTTAACTTTCTGAAATCCCAGAGTGCCTGACTGAAGCCACAGAGCACAAGTTTGATCCAATCATCACAATGACAGATGTCTAAATTTAACCAGAAGAAGGATGCCTCTGCTCAGTACTCTATCACTAAAAATAACTCATCATGGTCATTATTTCATAAGAGAGCAAACAGCTTAATAATATGAAAACTATAAAAACAAACAAACACTGAAAGCGCCAAAGACAACCACCTAGGATGAATTCATTTTTGATGTCTGAAGACAGGAAGCTTCCTCATTCTAGTATGACTCAGTCTGATTTGATGTGAAAACTACACATTTGTAGTGAAACATCTGTTTGAGTAATTAGAGAAGTGGAGTTTGATAGATATCAGACAGATGGGGATTAATACAATGTTCCCTTCTCAAATTAAAATATTAGAAATTAAGGATTCAGTATTATTGGAGCTGGCCTGCACCTGAGCAATCTTTCGGTGGTCAACCCCCTCCATGGGATGTATCAATGGAATGAAGACGTGGCTAAAAGTTAGATAAGGCTGGTCTGAAGGATAGTAGAGGCTCTGATGATGTCAACACAAGAACAGGCCCGGAGAAACAGATTACAGGCTTGTTCGATTTGTTTTTTAATATGCCTTTTGTATAGTATTTTCTACATATGCCTCATTTGTTTGTTGGTTTTTCTTGATTAATAATGTAATCTAATCGAGGCATCTTTAGATCCAAGTGAATGTCATATGGTTGTTCTTGCTATATCCTGTTCACAAGAATGTGAGGTTACCATGAACTTGACCTTTGACCACCTGAATGTTAGAAGAAATTTACTCATGTTCTTGAGAAGTTGCGTTCAAATGATCAAACATGTTTTGTAAGGTCCCAGTGACCTGGATCTTTGACCACCAAATTCTAATCAGTTCATCAGTCAGTCCAAGTGAACATTTGCATAAAATTTGAATAAAGTCATTTGATGTGTTATTGAAATATGTTCACAAGAATAAGACAGATGGACATATGGACAAAAACATAATGTCTTTCCACAGGCTGTCACCGGCGTGGAGGTATAACCATAATTACCATTTAAAATTGAGTTGGCTTTATCTATATCCCACTTCTTTGACCTTTTTAGATATATCAGCAGAAGTAATAATATCTCTTTCTTACCTGCCTTCAAGTCACTGCTTGTTGCTTATATTTAACCACTGATATCCATTTCAAATCCACAAACCCATCAATTAAAGTAGCCTCTTCTTTCAATATGGCTGGACATGTGAGACAGTCGTAACAGTAGTGTGCAGACAGGCTTTCGGAATTGAGAATTTGACGTTTTATTTATAACATACCATTTTCTTTACAAACCATATAACAGTGGACTGTTTTGCAATGAGTCACCACAATAAATACTGTTTAGGAATACAAGGGGTAAGATATGAAAATATAGGTAATGTGGAACATGGAAGTCTAGCTATAAAATTGGTCATCTGCACTATCTGACAGCCATCAGGATTTACATGCTCACCACTTTGAGAAAAACTATCTAGTGATTAAATGTGGCACAAAAAGACATCAGGAATAACAGTATCACAAACTGTGGCTGGGTGTATGAATACAGACAGAACACAGAGGGAGAAGACACAGAAATCAGACTATTGTTAAGGATTACACATGGGAACGGATCAGCGAAGTTTCAGTCCATGAACATTGGAATGCAGCAGCTACATCTAATGCTACTACACCATCTGTCAACAAAGTAATCACTACTTCAGTGTTCCATCTTTTAAAAAGTGGCTATTAAATGATTGCTCTTCAGCTTAAAAACATGTTCATCACTGTATTTCTCAAAATTCTATGATACTACAACTTCTTAAAACCTTTCCTGCTCAGATGATAGAGTCGAGGTGAAGAAGGAAAACACTTGAGGCACCAATTCATTTTATGCTTCGAGAGAAAAGACTAGTGAGGATAGCAAAATACTTGCTCTGTTGTGTTGATAAAATACACTTGTTAATACTGCTCTTGAGGTGAAGGTCACCACTAATAGTCAATGCCCTGGTCATTGTAATGGGAGCTGTAGTTGTCATGGTAACCTCCATGGTACTCGTCCTCCTGGAACTCGGCCTGATAGTCACTGTCGCTGATCTCAGAGCCGTTGGTGCCAGTGCCCTGACTGCCATTAGCATGAATGACTGGCTCTGTTGGGGGAGCGCAGTACTTGGGGTCGTAGACCTGTCGACCAAGACCGTACACACTCATGCCCCTCTGGGATGCCACCTTGTTGGTGCCCATCTGAAGGGAGATGGTGGAGTTGTCCAGTGGCTGTTGCGCCACCTTCTGGTCAAAGATGTCTCTTCTGGTACCAGGAGCTGACATGCCCGCCTGAAGGAAAGTGTCACAAATTTTATAACATAATGAAAGCAGTGTACAACTGAATGCTCGGTTCTAACAGAATGAAACGTCCCTCCAGAAATGTTCATGATTCGTCAATTCATTCATTAATCTGTCATTCATGCCAGTCAAGTTAATTTATACAAATTTTGGGGGTAATTTCTCATTATTTCACACCTTTAGAAAAAAATGTCAGACTTTAAAGAGCCAGTTTACATCATTAAATTACA